TACATTTGGTTGACTGACTGGGACATTTGATTTACTTTGACAACTATTGCTTCACAGATATGCATTATATTGTTTTACATGTTTACATGTTGGGTACCGTTGCATGGGAACTGAGGCCAAGTGGAGGCCGCCTCACTTTGGACTGATTAGACAGAGGTCAGCCATTCCTTCATGGGTCAGAAGCCAGTTACATCATCATGAGGAACTGACCAGTCCAGAGGCCTCTGAGGAGAGCCAGAGTAGAGGACTGTCCAATAAATGTATGTAAAAATGGTAAGATACATGTGAGAGAGAGAGAGAGAGAGAGAGAGAGAGAGAGAAAGAAAGAGCTAATGGTATAGATGGGAAAGATAAATAAAGATAAAGATAAATAATTAAGAAATGTAAATTCAGTACTGACTTTTTTTATATGATGGCTTTGTTTTTAATCTCAGTTCTTCATTTTAATATCCCACGCTTTATGAAGCTCTTCTTTATTCTTAGAGTGCACTGTATTACGGTTTGTCTTATATCTCATGATCAGTGAATGTGGCCTGCCAGGCATACAGAGAAACATTAGGGCACCATAGCAACAAAGATGGCACGCTCTGTTAGCTGCATGCACTGCAGCTTCCCTCAATGAGGTCAATCTGTTTGGGTGCTGGAGCGGGATGGGCCATCAGAGGCTGAGGGAGATGGGCTGAGAATGATAGAGACAAAACAACAAATTACCCTTAAAGGGGATTCCCACCAAATTTCTGCATTGCATCGTTCAGATGTAAACAAAGTCATTCAGAGAGGTCTGATGTAAACTGAAAGACTACAAGGCTAACCTAGCTAACATGTAATAAAAGCTTATACCACACCAATTAGCATTATATATATATTATATATATATTATATATATATAATACCTAAATTATCAAACATGGTTTTCAAAAAATCTCAAGCAGACCTTTTTATGTTTTCTAACACTATATGACATACTGTTACCTACATCATTATATACACATATATATATATATATATATATATATATATATATATATATACACAGTGGACCTGCCTGACAAAGTAAAGCAGACCAAAAGGTCCTAAAAGAGCTAGACATCATGCTGCGATCCAAAGATATTCAGGAACAAATGAGAAACAAAGTAATTGAGATCTATCAGTCTGGAAAATGTTATAAAGCCATTTCTAAAGCTTTTCTAAATTACCCCAAGAGCGCAGCGACGACTCATCCAAGAGGTCACAAAAGACCACACAAAAACATCCAAAGAACTGCAGGCCTCACTTGCCTCAGTTAAGGTCAGGGTTCATGACTCCACCATAAAAAAGAGACTGGGCAAAAATGGCCTGCATGGCAGAGTTCCAAGACAAAAAACACTGCTGAGCAAAAAGAACATAAAGGCTCGTCTCAGTTTTGCCAGAAAACATCTTAATGATCCCCAAGACTTTTGGGAGAATGCTCTGTGGACTGACAAGACAAAAGTTGAACTTTTTGGAAGGTGTCTGTCCCATTACACCCATTACAAAATACGGTGGTGGTAGTGTGATGGTCTGGGGCTGTTTTGCTGCTTCAGGACCTGGAAGACTTGCTGTGGTAAATGGAACCATGAATTCTGCTATCTACCAAAAAATCCTGAAAGAGAATGTCCGGCCATCTGTTCATGACCTCAAGCTGAAGCGCACTTTGGTTCTGCAGCAGAACAATGATACAAAACACACCAGCAAGTCCACCTCTGAATGGCTTAAGAAAAACAAAATTAAGACTTGAGTGGCCTAGTCAAAGTCCTGACCTGAATCTGATTGAGATGCTGTGGCATGACCTTAAAAAGGCGGTTCATGCTCGGAAACCCTCCAATGTGGCTGAATTACAACAATTCTGCAAAGATGAGTGGGCCAAAACTCCTCCGCAGTGCTGTAAAAGACTCATTGCCAGTTATTGCAAATGATTGATTGCAGTTGTTGCTGCTAAGGGTGGCCCAACTAGTTATTAGCTTTAGGGGGCAATCACTTTTTCACACAGGGCCCTGTAGGTTTAGATTTCTTTTTCCCTTAATAATAAAGATCTTCATTTATAAACTGCATTATGTGTTTACTTGTGTTATCTTTGTCTAATATTTAAATTTGTTTGGTGATCTGAAACATTTAAGTGTGACAAACATGCAAAAGAATAAGAAATCAGGAAGGGGGCAAACACTTTTTCAAACTCATACCTTGTATCTCCATTTTTGTTGTGTTTTACTTTTTTCAGAAATTGAAAATTCCAGTTACCCTTCACACTATGTGAATATTTCATGATAAATGACTCAGGACTGTTTTTTTTCCTTCCTTCTGTAAAGTTACCAGTTTCAAGATATAAGATTTTGTTCCAACAGTGACAATATATTATATTCACAGCTTCCAAACCATATAAATTCACTCGTACCTGTATAGACTAAGAGAGATCTGCAAGGTGAGATCGAAGACTAAATATATCATTGCTGTTACATCTTTGTGTTCAAAGGGGCACAGAAACTAAATTTCCATCCTTCTAATGAAGCTCTGATTACTACATATTCATGCTTACAACGCAGTTCAGTGCTGCGACAAAATTTCACAAAAATTACAGAAAATAAAAGTGCAATAAAACAAAAAAGGGAACAACAATCCTGAATATGACAGTTATTGAAGTTGTCCAAAGTTAATGGGCAAAACCATGTCAGAATTTTCTGTAAAAAAAAAAAAAATAAAAATCTTGGCTGATCTTAAGCCAACACAGAACTTGAAAAGAGGGAGGGAAGAAAGAGCAGATGTATTTTGAGGAGGTACAGTTTGAGAAAAGAGAAAAGACAAAGAGGAACTTATGCTAGACCATGGGCAGGTTGGGGGAGAGGTAGTAGCAAGATGATGAGGATGAAGAGCATGGGTTAGAAGAAAGACTGGATGAAAGCGGGAGTGTGGTGGAAACAGAAGGGCTGAGAAATGTACCGCGCTGGAGCACAACAGGGGGACGAGGTGAGAGGTAGTATTCAGCATTAAGGACGCGCAGAGTTCTCCTCAGCCTCCGCAGAGGAGGTGTGGGAGAGCGAGAGTGGAGCAGTGTATGTGTATGACACATTCTCACCAGCCAGTCACCCACACAACAAACACACACGCACACACTCACCAGCACAGGATGCACAGAGCTGAGGAACTGGCTGCCAGGTCTGGACTATTGTCTCTCTCCCTGTGGCATTTTTTTCAGATTGTAGTTGTAAATTTAAGGACCCATGTCTTACATTTTTCTTGCATTTTATTTTTTTTTCCCTCTGTGTTTTTACAAATTTGGGTAATTAATTTTATTTATTTAATTTTCTAACCTCTCTTCATCCCTTGGAATTAAATAGGCTTTTTTGGCTACTGTACCATTAAGACTGATGTATATGGAAATTGACCTCTGTTCTGATTGGATGTCCTGTATTGTGCCTCATTCAAAAAGCACTCCTTAAAACTTCAATAAAAATGGGTGGAGCTAAACTGCTTTAGGTTGAAAAAGTGGATATAAGCAATGTTTTTTGTGACATCATTCATGTTTTTGCAGCCTCATTACTGTACACCTAATGAGCAGTTTATAAGGAACACTTTATTAATACCTGGTAGGGCCTCCCTTTGCTCTCAAAACAGCCTCAGTTCTTCATGTTGGGGATTCCACAACATGTTGGAAAAATTCCGTTGAGATTCCAGTATATGATTGCATCATGCTATGTCTGCAGATTTTACAGGTGCACTTTCATGCTGTGAATCTCCTGTTCTACCACATCCCAACAGGTGTTCTGCTGGATTCAGATTTGGTAACTGAGAAGGCCACTGAACAACAGTTGTCATGTTCATGAAACCTGTGCATCAGCAAAAATCTAGATTCATCAGATCAGGCTACATTTTTCCAGACTTCAAATGTCCAGTTTTGGTGAGCCTGTGCCCACTGCAGCCTCAGCTTTCTGTTCTTGGCTGACAGATTTGGAACCTGACATGTTCTTCTGCTGTTGCAGCCTGTCTTCCTCAAGGTTTGATGTGTCAGCCCAGAACCTTTTCTGCTCACTTCAGTTGTGCAGAATGGTTGTCTGAATTACCATAGCCTGTTAGCTCAAACCAGTCTGGCCATTCTTCGTTGACCTCTCTCATCAACAAGGTGTTTCTATCTGCAGAACTGCCACTCACTGTATGTTTTTTTACTTTAGAGAATGTTCTGCATGAAACTCCTGGGAGATCAGCAGTTATAGAAATACTCAGACCACCCTGTCTGACACCAACAATCATGCCACAGTCAAAATCACTGAGATCACATTTTTCCCCATTCTGATAGTTCATGTAAGCTTTATCTGAAGCTGCTGGCCTGTATTCTGCATGATTTTATGCACTGCACTGTTGCCACATGATTGGCTGATTAGATAATTGCATGACTAGGTAGGTGTACAGGTGTTCCTAATAAAGTTGTTGGTAAGTGTATATGTAGTATATACACTGGAGACCTAATGGTACATGTTTCCATACTAAATTATAATGAGTTTTTTTTATGATGCGTTTTTGATGATATGAGCTCTTTAAAGAATAAACTATTCTTTTTACTCCTCTCAGTCTTCTCGTTGTGATATCCTCACCATTTCCTCATCACACTCATTACTTGTAAATAACAGCCCTGTTATCCACTTTCCAAGTCATGCATTTACATACTCTGAGCTTGACTAAACACACATTTAAGAGCCCTGTTCAGGTGGTAAAAGGGGGAAAAGGGCAACATAATATAAATTAAATGTGAAATAAAATCAATTAAATCTACAGCATATTGCAACCATGCAGTGTAATCACACTTTAGAAAAAACAAACATAGAGTTTTGCCCAATGCAGCCAAAAATGCTAGCTATACCACTTACACAGGCATCTGACTATGAGGGTAATTGTGCACTGAACTATGATGGAATGTAACTGAAATCTGTATTTTGAAACATGCATTATAAACCATAAAACAAAAAAACTTTGTTTTCTGTTTTCCTCTTTAGTTCTTGTCTGATCGAATCTTAAAGGCAGCCAGGGTGGTATATGGTGCACTGATTGAAAGAAATCCAGGCCTGATCAGAGACAGGAAACATCACCTCAAAACCTACAGGTACCTGTCAATTATGAGTAGCACTGTGAATTGAAAAAAAATCACTTTGGAGGTATACGGCAATGTTTTTTGACCTAATTTCTGTTAATTACGTCATGTATTGTACGGTTGATTACCACAGACAATAATTTCAAGGTGTTTCCCTGTACTTAGAAAAGAAGAAAAAAAAACACATACTCTTGAAGTTTGCTTATAATAGCAGCTATTGGGCAATGGCTGAATTGGGTGAATTTATATGTGAAATATGTAACACTACTGCAAATCTGAAAGTTCAACCATGCACTCAAACAATACTGGTCTGAAGATAGGACAGACATGACAGAATATCTTATCAAAGCTTTTCTTATGTAGTTTTGTCTTTTTAACAACAAGCAGTTCTGATTACATTCAGTTTTCCTACACTACTTAAAAAGAAAGTGTTGTTTGTAGTGATGCCATAGAAGAACCATAGGTCAGTTCCCTACTGAACCTGTTAAGTGGATGTTTCTTTAAAGAACTATTTTTGTAAATCATATACATACGTGGGAATAACCTTCACATTTTTATATAACAGAACTGTACATCCAAGCCAAAAGCCATTTAGGAAACTAAACTATACTTGACTATATGCTATAGATGCAGCTGATAGAGACTGAGTTAAGTGCTGGAATGTTCCTTCATTAATGGGGAAACAAAGGTAAATTACTATAGTCAAAAAAGATGGCTTTGTACAGGACTAAGTGGGACTAAATCCTGTTTGTTGTTCTATGTGATGTAGACAGTGCTGCAGTGGGAAGGAGCTTGTTGATTGGCTGATGAAGCTGAATAACTGTTTCCAGTCCCGCAGTCAGGTAGTTGGGATGTGGCAGGTTTTAGTGGATGAAGGCATCCTTGTTCATGGTAACTATCAAATGATGTCTAGTGTCTGATGTCTTTTTTTTTTATGACCTAAAGAAATGATGGCCTGCATTCAAAAGACAACGTGTTTTGGACGTTTTAAAATGCCTACTTTTCTCTGTATAGTGAAGCAGGAGTTGAACTTCCATGACAAAGACACCCAGTTTTACCGATTCATGGAGACGGAGTTTGACCTGAATCATACAAACAATGAGAAGGACTCAAAAGAAGATGAGCTTCAAGAAGGTCTGGCACTACTGGTCCAAATGGGTCCTGATGCTCTCCTGAATATGATACTTCGCAAATGGTAAGAACCAGAAAGCAAATATGGAGGTTTATGGGTCAGTTTGAATAATTTTTAGGCTTTAGGAACAATACAATTACAATTTAAACATAATAATGTGTACAGAAAAATAAAAGCTTCTTCTTCCCATGCTTTATAACTTGTTTGCTCAGACTTGCATGAAGTTACACTTGGCCACAGGGGTTGCATTAACAATATTGAAAATTGCTGTGATAGTAAGCAATAGCTATTTCAGTATATCTTACTGTCTATTTTATTTCAACATAGGTTATCTACCATTAGTATATATATATATATATATATATATATATATATATATATATATATATATATATATATATATATGCAATTTTGTAATCTTTAGGGTTGCCTAGCTTTGTCTAGTGTAAAAGTACATGTGACAAATTTTCTAATATGATATGTGAACTGGAACACAAACTGTGAATTTGATTCCTGGCGATGCCACAGCCATTCATGCCAGGAGTCCAAGCATAGTTGACCTTGCTATCTCTGGGTGGGTAGAATGGCCCTCCCTCTCCCCCATCATTTAGCATGATACTAGTAGGAGTGGGTGATATAAATCAAAATTTATATGATAACATTTTCCACTATTCGGAAGATAACAAAATGATACAATATCAAAACATTGAATAAATTTATAATAGTAACAATAATAATAACAAAACAAAACAACACTGCAATAATAATTAGTATTGTAATTACTATTATTGCTATTATAGCCGTTATTATTGTTATTTATATTATTATTATAGATATTTTTTATAAAACCTTCAAAGTTTAAAGAGATCTGGGCCTGTATTCATATAGCTTTTCAGAGTAGGAGTGCTGATCTGCCGTCTGTTCCTTTCAGTAAAATCTGAGTAAATAAGAGAAGAATCTGATCCTAAATCAGCACTAGATCAGTTTGACTCTCTGTTGACCATCGAGATTTTTTTGTCAAAGTAAATAGATTGTCAAAGTAAATTCACATACACTATATGTCCAAAAGTATCCAGATACCCCTTCTAATTAGTGATTTCAGTTACTTTAAGGTGCAGCCATAGCTCATTAGATGTCCGATTGCTTGAATAATCTCCATATTTTGTATAATCTTCTTTGGAAAGCATTGCTAAGGTCACCATGCCCAATGCCAGGCATTGGCTAGAAGGATATAAAGTGCCTCAGTATTGGGCTGTAAAGCAGTGAAGCTGCATTTTTTAGAGTGATGGAGCACCATCCAATACCTTGGAAATGAGTTGGAGTGGTATTTGTGATCCAGAACTAATCATCCAACATCAGTACTTGACCACACTAATGCTCTTCTGGGTGAATGCGATCAAATCCTCACAACAATGTTCCAACACCTAGTGTAAAGTCTTCCTGGATGAGTAGAGCCTGTTACTGCACCAAACGGGGAACAAACTCCTTATTTATGCCCTTTATTTTAGAGGCAACGCTGGATGAGCAGGTGTCTACAAAAATTTTGACGTATTGTGTATTTTAGCAAGTGGCTTGCAAGGGTTATCTGCAGTATATTCTGTAGATATCTTCTTCTGTCTTACCCAAGTCCTGCATATTGTAATCCTGTGTATTTTATATGTAAATGCTTTATAGTAAACTCTAACAGTTTGCGCTATGTGCTTTGTGTGCCGTAATCAGTCCAAGCCAGAGGTCAGCAGAAGATGTGGAGGTCATCTACGAGGAGCTGCTGCACGTCAAGGCTGTGGCCCACCTGTCCACCTCCGTGAGTAATCACTTCCTGTCCCATTACCTTTTGCTTTCCCACCGTATCTCTCCATTCATCCCTTACTCTGTTTTCCTCTTTCTCCATGGCTGTAGGTGCGAAAGGAACTGGCTGCAGTGCTGGTGTTCGAGTCCCATGCCAAGGCGGGCACAGTGTGTGAGTGCGAAAGCAAGGCTGACATTTCAACAGCAGTGGGCGAGAGCACAGAATAGTGCTAATGACATGACAGCATCAGTGCCTGTGCATAAATACAAGAAAACATAGAAACAAAGTAGTGACGTAAAGGAGATGCATCAAGGTTATTTCATAACTCTCATGCCCTTTATTGCAGTCAGCAGTGATGAATAAGAAGTACAGGCTTTCCAGCTGCTGTGGTGATGTAATAGAAGCTGTAATCACATCATTACACACTCCACTTTGTGGTCTGAAGATCATAAAGGTTATTATTTAATCAGGGCCAATAAACTCTCTCCCAGAGGAACTCCAAAAGTCCAAACCTAGCAGAGAATAGACAGCGTTGACTGCCTTGTAATTGTAAATGTAAAACAGAAAACACTGCGTTTACACATAATTGGTAGTCCATAGGGTCCACTTACCTACACTCATTGGCCATTTAATCAGGTGCATCCCAGAAAAGTTTACACTAGCACTCAAATGTTTGGAATCATTTGTTATCTTAATAATTGCTGTTTTTTTCTTCAGTAATAACTTATACAGTGTAGTTTCAAATTTTATTAGCTTGAAAAAACAGAAGGTCTTTCAATATGATCTATTCAATATAAGTTTTGGGTAACACCAAAAAGTTATTAAATACTACTTTTGAATTATTTGTTTAAAGTATAGTTATAGTATAGTAATATTTCTGGACAAATGATCTGTCTGAGATTTGATCATCCATCCATCCATCCATCCATCCATCATCTAAACCGCTTATCCTTCTGGGTCGCGGTGGGGTGCTGGAGCCTATCCCAGCTGTCATTGGGCGGAAGGCAGGATACACCCTGGACAGGTCGCCAGTCCATCGCAGGGCAGACATACAGACACACACATTCACTCACTCCTAGGGGCAATTTAGCATGTCCAATTGGCCTGACTGCATGTCTTTGGACTGTGGGAGGAAACCGGAGTACCCGGAGGAAACCCACGCAGACACGGGGAGAACAGGCAAACTCCACACAGAAATGACTCTGGTTGCCCGGCCGGGAATCGAACCCAGGCCATTTTTGCTGTGAGGCGACAGCGCTACCCACTGCGCCGAGATTTGATCACCATATTTCAAATGTGAGGAATTCTGGATGTTATATTTAGTATAACATCATTCTGAATTCTGAAGCTTTCTGAGCCATTAAGGAATCACCTTTCATCATTCATCATTCTGGACACATCTAACATTCCTTCTTTTTCCCCAGCTTCCTACTCATCAGTTGAATTAATTCATAATAGAATAATTTCATGCGCTTATCTGCAACTTTGTTTTTAATTTATTACAATTCCAAAATTTTGAGTGCTAGTTATATGAAAAAGTTTGGGCAAATTATATGTTTTTAAATCACTAAGTAAAAATAAAAAGTACACGTTCTCAGAGACCCCACTTCTGCACATGTTAATGAACAATTACTCTTTATTTGCTGAATTAAACATATTGGAGGACAAATATTAAAAATGTAAACAGTACAAAAGTTATGGCACATTTAATATTTTTTCCCAATATGTTAAACTCATAAAATAAAAAGAAATTGTGCAGAAAATGGCATATTTAAGTTTGTTCCCTATAGAGAATTTGGTAACACGTGGAAATGTGTTAATTGAAGAGAATGTGTTGCAATTAACAAATGTGACTGTAAGTGCACTTTGAAGATATATAGCTACTGACTGTAGCCCATTTGTTGCTGCACAATCAGCCACTCTCCCCTTGTCTATCAATGGAAAAGGACCATCATAGGACCACTGCTGACCAGATATTATTTCAGTTGTGGCATGTTAGTAGGTGTTGTGTTGCATCAGTTTATCAGGTGCAGATAGTATATGGTACGTGTAGAGGACAAAGTGGCCAGTAAGTATTTATGTGTGCTTGTGCATGTGTGTGTGCTTGTGCATGTGTGTGTGTGTGTGTGTGTATGTGAGGAAGTACACAGCTGATGAGGTTCCCACTCCATATGCTATTATTTCACAGTGTTCAGCCAGGGAGACAAAGGCACATCCTGGTACATCATCTGGAAGGGGTCTGTTAATGTCATCACACATGGCAAGGTAAAAGCATCTGAATGACCACTATTAATACAGTGGTCATTTAAGTCTGATTATAGGCCTCTGCATTGTTCTAAAAATATTTCCAAAGTGTGCCTCCTACAAGGAAAAGTGAAGGAAACCTTATTGTTTGTTTGTGTGTGTGTGTGTGTGTGTGTGTGTGTGCGTGTGCGTGTTATTTGACAGGGCTTGGTGACTACCCTGCATGAAGGAGATGACTTTGGCCAGCTTGCCTTGGTAAACGATGCTCCCCGCGCTGCTACTATCATACTGAGAGAGGACAACTGTCACTTCCTCAGAGTAGACAAGCAAGACTTCATTCGAATACTGAAGGTAAAATGCAAAAGTCGTTGTGTGCATGTGCATTTGTCAAGATAAAGTACTATGCAAAAGTCAGAGACCACTCTTCATTTATTTAATTCCAGTGAAAATGGCCATTAAATATATATTGAATCTTTTTAGCAACAGGAAAAACACAGCGGCCTCAAGAACTAAATATAGTATAATTTTTTTAGCATTTAGTTTGTCTTTGTCTTTATCTTTAATACAGCTTACATTCTTTTCAGGAGATTTGCTTTCAGTTTTTCAAAGACATTTGCAGCAAAATTTTTCCTACGAAGTTCTGTCTTAGACCTTGGTTGTGCTTTCTGCATCCAAGGAATCCCAAACACACTCAGTGATGGTGAGGTCTGGACTATGGGGTGGCCAGCCAGTAGTTCTGAAAACACCAGCAGCTTCTTTGTTTGGTTTGCATCTTTTTTCCTTTTCTCAGCAACAACTTCTTGACAGCTGCACATCCTTTCAGCACATAGCGTTGAGTTGTTTTCTCACAGTGAAAGGATGACAGAAAATCTATGAATTTTTTCACATCTGCAGCAAGATTGAATATTGATTTTTTCCTGTTCCTTAAAGATGAATGCTTTAACCCCTTAAAGTCTCAGGCTTAGTACATACTAAGGCTTATTATTCAGTAACTACAGGGACGTTGATGAAAACTGGCTGAGCTGTTCATGGGTTACAGAAGTGTGTAAAAATTTTGGCCTGCTTGTGGGCCTTTTAGGGGGTTAAGTACTGTTTATCTGATAGTCACAGTTTTGTTGGCCTACTAGGTCTTGCACAGTTGTTTCTTTGCATCTTTTAATCATTTTTGGGCTCTAGTTTTATATAAGTAGATTGTTATATCAAATCTCCTCAGAAATATTTGCTGAATATTTTCTACTTAATGGACATTTTGACTGCAAATTAATAAGTGTAGAATGTATTTTGCATTGCTGTATTTACATTGCACAGTATAGTATTGGCATGAACTGATCAGGCAGAACATTATGACCACCTCCTTGTTTCTTTGCTCATTGTCCATTTTATCAGCTCCACTTACTATATAGGTGCACTTTATAGTTCTACAATTACAGACTGTAGTCCATCTGTTTCTCTGCATACATTGTTAGCCCCCTTTTACCCTGTTCTTCAGTGGTCAGGACCCCCATGGACCCTCACAGAGCAGGTACTATTTGGGTGGTGGATCATTCTCAGCACTGCAGTAACACTGACGGTGTTGTTAGTGTATGTTGTAGGTGGTGTGTTAGTGTATGTTGAGCTGGTACGAGTGGATCAGACATAGCAGTGCTGCTGGAGTTTTCAAACACCTCAGTGCCACTGCTGGACCGAGAACAGTCCATTAACCAAAAATATCCAGTCAACAGCGTCCTGTGGGCAGCGTCCTGTGACCACCAATGAAGGACTAGAGGATGACCAACACAAACTGTGCAGCAGCAGATAAGCTATCATCTCTGACTTTACATCAGGCTGGACCAACAACACAGGTGCGTCCAGTAGAGTGGACAGTGAGTGGACACAGTGTTTAAAAACTCCAGCAGCACTGTTGTGTCTGATCCACTCATACCAGCACAACACACACTAATACACCACCACCACGTCAGTGTTACTGCAGTGCTGAGAATGATCCACCACCCAAATAGTACCTGCTCTGTGAGGGTCCATGGGGGTCCTGACCACTGAAGAACAGGGTAAAAGGGGGCTAACAACATATGCAGAGAAACAGATGGACTACAGTCTGTAATTGTAGAACTACAAAGTGCACCTGTATAGTAAGTGGAGCTGATAAAATGGACAATGAGTGTAGAAACAAGGAGGTGGTCATAATGTTATGCCTGATCAGTGTATGTGTGTAGTGTCAGCTGACCCGTAAGAATTTTTTTGCAACTGATACTGAATTAAAAACATAATAAATATATAAAACAAAATAAATATAAACAGACACCAGTGGGTTTAGTTAAAAACTTTTAAAATGATTTATATTAGTTGAAATTGCATCGGTATAACAGTTATCAGTTGTCCACTGTGAACAGTCAAATTTGATTGTCAGTTCTCAAATGTCAACTTTTCTTAAATAAAAAAGGTATTGTAGCGCAGTCTTGGTTTCTTTGTATCTGATAGTGTTTTGCATTTGATTTTGCCAGTTCAGACTGTTAAAGTAGAGTAAGAGCACAAAATCAACAAAATTATCACAAATCAGTGATTCTCCTCATATTAGAGCAGTGTGTTCATTATATAAAAAACAAGCCATGAGGTAATTTATGTTAAAAAATGTTAGTTTAATATCAGTTGATTTTATTAGTCAAAAAACATATCAGCAGGGCCGTAGTGTGCATATGTTTTTGATGGAAATCCTGTGGCATGTTTCCACAACATTGTTGTGTATCATTATGCAGGATGTTGAAGCAAACACTGTTCGTTTGGAAGAGCATGGGAAAGTGGTGCTGGTCCTGGAGAAAAGCTCGGGACAGGAGTCGCCCCTTCAGGGTGGATCAGGAAGCAGCAGCAAGTAAACAAACCACATCTCTACACTCACTCATATTGTTCTGCACATCCGAGCATGCTGCACCTGCATTAAAGCCAGACCCAAAGCCCAATCAAAAGCCTGAAGACTGCATGTTTCACATGTTAATCCACAGAGTAGAAGATGATAAAACAATGTTTCTATTGTGCAAAATGACTCTGACTGTTAAATGGTTATTAGCAAACAAAGGACCAGAGCACTTCTTAACTGGGGCGATTGTAAAAGGCAGGAAAGGCAATGAATTAGTCAGACTTTCCACTATTATCTGCATTCAAGAGCATTAAATTAATTCTGAATTGAATTGGTGCTTTAGCATATTGTGCACTGCTTTTCCTCTCTAACTATCTTACTCACTCTCTTTCTTTCTGCCTTTCAGATACACAGTGATGTCAGGAACACCAGAAAAAATTCTGGAACATCTCCTGGAGACTATTAAGCTGGATACAAACGGAAGTGATCCAATAGGTATGACATTTGCATAGTTTCTTGATTCAGAGCACATTGTGGATCAGTAAGAGCTTATTGTCATATTGTTTTGTTTTATCAGAGTAGTGATAAAACCTGCCTGATGCGTGCTATTCACAAAACAATAATAAGCTCTGACTGATTCTCTATTCTGACTGACAGTCACTGTCTGACTGTGCTCTAAAACAGCATGTGCATTCGCTTGGAAAAAATCACAGTGTATACAATAATAAAGGAAACCACTTGCATCTTTTATATAGTGGGAGAGACATAGTAAGTTTGAACAATGTGGTCAAATGGCATATTTTGTGGGTAAATGAGTAAATATAAGTTAACATATCCTCTACAGGGACCAACTTAAGCATTTTTTAAACATTTTTCTGCATGTTAGTGCACAGCTGTACATGCTGATATATTTTACTCTGTGCATCGTAGACGTGCACACACCGTAATTTCTCTAGATTCAGATTTAAACTAGTTAAAGGGACCATCACCAAATTCTCAGAATGGATTGCTCGATTCAGTGGGGTTAATAGACAATTTTGTATTATGTAGTTATTGTATAGCTACATTATATATGGTTCTTCAACCTCCTAAATGGCCAGGGCCCACCAGCAGGCCCAAAGTTTTATTACACACTTCTATAACCTAAGAATAGCTCAGCCGGTTTGCACTGAAGTTCCTGTAGTTACTGAATACTAAGCCTTTGTATGTAACAAGCCTGGGATGTTAAGGGATTAATTGTACACAATATAACTTAAAATTTGCATTTCAGCTAAATTCTGTTGTGAGAAGTAGTTATGCTAAACAAAGTGTTCTACACACTAGGCAAAAGGAAGTGGACAGGGAGACAGACCCAAACATCCCTATTATTTATTGTTTTTGAATGTGTTCTAAAAAACAACAGTGAGGTGTCTCCAAATGTTCCTGTGATTTCCAGACTGCCTGAAGAGGAAAACAAGGCCTCTTTAATGAGATGTGAGCAAGTGTGTGTGTATGTGCCTGGGTGTTTTCCTATGTATTCAGGACAAAAAGAGAAAACCAGAGAAACCAAGAGTAACCTACCTTGCCAAGACCATAAACATGGTCCTTGGATTAAATGCTTTTTACAAAACATACATTTTGCGTTGTGTTTGGTAATAAAAGGGCAAAACATGTCTTTTTTAAGATTGAGATCAAAGTTAGGGTTAGGGTTAGGGTTAGAAAAATCTTATCACATATGTATGATCACACTTCTTTATATTGAATAAAAACGTGTGTTTGTGTTTTTCTCTGTGACTTCAGATCCTTGTGTTAGTGACTTCCTCCTCACACACCAAGTCTTCATGCCCTCTGCACAGCTCTGCCCTGCCCTTCAGCATCAATATCTATTCATTACTGCTGCTTATATTCACCTTAATCAGCCTCCACTGGTTCTAAATACTCTTCACAGTTCTACTAGTCTTGGCCTAAGCCTCTTTATTCTACAGTGGATGTATGACGTAAACTTGTTTGAACTGTTTTTTTTTTTTTTGAGTGATATGTATACATATATGTGAAATGAATATGTCCTTAACCCTCACTGCACCTACCATGCTGAGCCCTCAGAAGGCTCTGAGTTGGAGAAGGCTGCCTATGCTCTCAATACCAAGCAGAAAATTGTGAAACTGGTGGGTCAGTGGGTGGCACTTTGCAGCCCACTGCTGAAGGAGGACCCTGTGGCCTTGCAGTTCCTGGAGGTTTGTTTCTTAGTTACTAAATTTTAGTTTAGTCCTTAATGCAGTTATTGTCATTGTTTTGCTGTATTGTTTTTACAGTCAAGTAATTTGTAATTGTTATGTAATTAGCAGAAACATAACATTGTGCACAACAATAACTTTTCTTCAAATTAAAATCAAAATAAATCTCTTATACATATGAACCCAAATGTACTTGTGAAAAAATGTGAAAATTTAGAAACCACAGTTTCTAAGTGGTAGAGGGTATGTATTTTTGATTTGTCAGTTTAATTATGAAGTCAGTTTCAGCTATCTTAGAAGACTGATTAAAGATGCATGTTTCATTCTATGTGCTCTGTTTCTGAGGTGATCTTTTAAAAATTGCTCCTCTCATGTGAAGTTCAGCATGAAAAAACAGGATTGGATTGTCAGATGGTGATGACAATGACACCTCTACTGTGCTTCTGTAGCTCCTACGCTTAATATATTTTACCTGTGGGGTCGAAACGCATTATACAAGGTGCTTAGCATTATTTTCACATTAGGATGTAATATTCAAGATATTCAAACTCATATTTATTCTTTTGCTCTGGGACAGAAACTGAGAGAAGAAGTGATGAGTGACTCAAGACTCTCAAACATGCTCAAAGAACAGCTGCGGGACAGGAGGAAAAACAGAGTGTAAGTAACAGACTTACTCACTCAAATGTTAGGAATGTTTTATAAATGTTTTATATTTTATGGCATGGTCTCTGTGGTTAAAACTGCCAAAAAGGTCACGGTCAAGTCTAGACCATTAGTTAATCTATGTCATTTAAAACTGGTCAATCATTGGCCTTGGTCTGCCTTCACACATACTTTATGCAAACATTCTATTGTAAAGTCAGCAACATCTAGACACACTCCATAACCTTGTACTGCACGTTGACATTTTCATGTCCATTCTCCTTGCAGGCTAGAGAACGGATGCCAAACACTGACGAAGGTGAGTTCCATTCCCTCTCTGGGAAAGCTGCAGAGATAAGAGTCCAAACAATACAGCCTCAATGAGAACTTTATGACATGGCATGATAAATGCACTAGCCACTGGAAAAGTCAACAGCTTAGCGTTTTCCCGGATAAACCTGGAGAACAAGAAGAAACAGAGCATGAGTGGTCTGATAATGTTGTGAATGCAATGAACATACAGCGCCAAAATGATGTCAGATAGGCCAGTAGTGGTTTAATGTGGTCTATGGTGACAACTAGTATTTGTTTGTTATTTCAGCACTACCAATTCATGTAATTTTGCACAATCCCACAAGAAAGGATGAAAAATTTGAGACTTGGGCAAAGGTTGTTTTCTTATGACTTTATTTGAAAGAAATTCTGTAAATCACACTTGCTTAGATTATAATGCCTATGTATAATACAAAATAATAATTACATATTACTTATTCACTCACATAGTGAGATATGCAAGGAATTGCATTTACATTCTGCAAAACATTTATGCAAAAGTATGTGCAGAGAATAACTTTTCATTAACATCAAATCATAATAAATATTTCATTTTCTACATGCGCAGACAAACATGGTATGGCATGGTATTTAAAGCATACCATGTTTGTCTGCGCATGTAGAAAGGTTCACAAGTTGTTTTCCACTTGTTTGCATAAACTATGACTGAGAAATAATTAATATCGAAATACACCATGTTTATATTATCGACTGGGATTACTACAACTTCTAAGGCTCAAGGATAGATCACAGAGGGGCCTGCAGCTGATGGCATCCCCTTGAATAGTTTCTGCATACCGCTCAGGCCAACCTGTTCCTATCTCTGACTTCTATATCTCAATCCTCACATTCCACTGATGAGAAGTACAACAACTTCATACACCCCACCCCCCAGCCCCCATCAATCTGTCAGACCTGAGATGTTAAGCACTGACAGAAGAAAAGAAAACTTTGATTTATTTTTGAAGCATAGCTGGTGATTTGTAGTCCCATTCACGGCAGTTCTTTGAAAAATAAAAGTTTGCATATTGCCATATTGTTGAATGCTGTTGAAAAGCAGTGCAGCCGCTCACATCTGGTCAACATTTTTTTTCTCCTATTGTTCATATTTTACAGCCGAATCAGAAATTCGATTGGTTCACTGCTTATGAAGAGCCTCTTGGGAAGTGTCAATCAATCAGAGCTCAGGACAAAGGTCTGTCTGGATTTTCTAAATGATCATTAATGGTTTTGTATGAGGACATGTCATTTGGCCAGATAAACAACAATTACACTGCTTTTAAATTTCACTTAAACACTCAAAAAAGCAGATATGGGAACTGCCTTGAACATTTCAGTAAACAGCTCTTGTAATATGCTTGCAGTCCTGTATGAAATTTTCAAACCGGACCACAACGCTGTGACACTGATGCTGCCTGTGAATTCCTCAGTGCAAGACATAATGTCTGTTCTGGTAAATCCAGGGGGAGATCATGTACTGGTCAAAATGAACTCTTCAGGAGGTAAGGATGATATTCTGTCATGCAGCAGAGTTTATGTGTCTGTGCAAAACATTTTTTATTTAACCCTTAAACCCTAAAGACTTCTATGTGGGACCATACGTCAGTGTCTCATTATATATATCATATATATATATCATATATATCATTATATATATCATTATATATATCATAATAACATATCTTGCGTATTACTATTTGTAATATAATGATTACGTATACTTAATTATTACAAATATTTTTCATATCATAGCAGCTACTTAATCATTTATAAAAGTCGAAGAATAGAACATCAGAGAGAGAAAGTGTTATAAGGTGCACAGCTGGGGTGCAAGCTGTGATTTGGTTTGGCATGAGCTGAAAGTTACAATTTGATTTGCAACACAAATTTGTGAAGTCTTTTGTAAGTTTTCTGTTGCTTTTATTTGGCAAAGAAAGAAAAAAGTAACACAAAAAGCCAGTGAACAATATATGTTTTTAATATTGCCAATTTCTTCCTTCAAAAAGTAGTTCCAGCTTTGAATAAAGCTAATTTATTGTTACTTAGTAACCACTGGTCCCAAAAATTATACAAGTATGGAAAAACTAGTTGTTATGTCTGATAATAAAATACCAATAGATCTGATTGTGTGGTCTAAATTAACTTGAGATTAATAAATGCATAATAAGCTTAGGGTTGAAGGGTTTAATGTAAGTAGTGTGGGGCAGAGACGTCCACAGTTCACTTTATTGAAGTCAGAGTCACGTCTCAAGTTTCTGAGATGCAAGTACAGCTCAAGTTTCTAGTGTCTGAGGTACAAGTCCGAATCAAGTCTCAAGTCTTTGAGGTGCAAGTCCAGGTCAAGTCTCAAGTTTCTGAGGTTCGAGTCTGAGTCAAGTCTGAAGCCTCTGAGCTGCAAGTCCAAGCCAAATCTCTAGTCTCTGAGGTGCAAGTCTGAGTCAAGTCTCAAATATTTGAGGCACAGTTATAAGTAATAGTCTTGCGTCTCCAAGGTGGAAGTCTAAATCGCAAGTCTTAAGATCCTAAGTGTATGCCTGGGTCAAGTCTCGAATCTCTCAGGTCTTTAATCTTTAGTATCTTTCTGGGTGCAGAGGAAATCTGTAAGATTGCAGGCTTAATTAATTATTCTATAGCTTGTACTGATTTATCCCAAGCAGTGCCAACTTTGTAGACACTTGTCAGCAGTAGCAGTAGTGACAAGTGTAATGTAAAAGGGTTACTGATTGTTAGTTGCAAGACTTTTCCCCTGGCCATTCCTATAAAATTGGTATGCTTTCTTGTCTGTTAGAGAGAGTTCAGCTAAAGCTGGATGCGACAGCCGTCTCCACGTCTCTGGGGCTGAACGAGCGACTGTTCCTGTGCACTGTCTCTCAGGTGGAGCAGCTGGTGAGTGGCTCTTAACTCAGGAACCTCTCCAGTGTGCAAGAGGAGTGCTCTGGTTAACTGCAGCCAAGACTACTATTGTCATCGTGATTTTTGTGTCAAGTAATACATATTTGCATTCAGGTGCTAAATAGTAAGTATTACGTAATATCAATATGTCACAGCAGTATGTGGATTAATCTTTTTATACCAAAGAAAGAAAGCCACTATTCCTGCCTGTCTGCTCTTCTCCTTTAATAACATGATTTCATAATGCTGTTGTTGCATTTATTTTGATATGTAAAAAGCATGATCTAACAAAGCTAAAAAGTTGTAGGTTTCAGCAAGAAAGTTTTGATCAAAAAACAAATTTTTACTCACAAACAAAACAATAGTAAGTGAGTGATGTGAATTCCATTCTGAATGTGTACATGCTACTTCAAAAACTGCTGAAGTGCATCCAACAGTCAAGACAGCATTGTGCTTCTGTAGACAGGGATAGGAAACAGTAGTACACCAAAAACTCCAATTCTACATGATGATACATTGTACTATGCCCAACATGTTGTGTTCCACTTTTGTGTAAAAACCCAAGTCATATAGGTTTAAAACCCCTTAAATGTCCGGAACCCACCTGCAGGACTAGGCTTCCATTCCTTACTGCAATAATAATAAGTCACTTTACAGTTTGCATAATTTTCTGTGTAATTACTGAATAATAAGCCTTAGCATGCAATACGCCTGACAAATAAAGGGATTAAAATAACAGTGATGATGGAAAGACATTCAGAAGAGCAATATTTTGTTCCTGTGCTGAAGTGTCATGGTAGGAGTGGCTCTCAGATATGTTTGTGTCTGACAGACGCCTCTGAAGGAGCAACTCGGTCCAGAGCAGAACACCATGGACACTCTAGAGCAGATGTGCTCCAAGGACATTGCAAGTCAGCTGACCAACTACGACTGGGAACTCTTCACGGCCATGCATGAGGTAACTGATGGAGATTTGAATAAATATTCCCTTAGACAGTAATCAAATATAGTAGATGTTGTAATCAATAACCAAATAGGTAGTATTGGCTAACAGAGAATATTAATTCTCTCACAAAGGGTAGGCCTTAGTCTGTCTGCGTAGGAGATTCTAGACACTGGAACTCCCCAGGGTTCACAGACAGGCCTGTGTGTACTTGCTGACCCAGTAAAGAGAGGGACAAGTTTACCTTGAAAGGTAAAGCAGACTGGTAAAACCCGGTTGAAAGAGATGCACCTATTAGAGAATAAGCTAATATCAAAATTTGAGAAGTAAGGCGGGGGATATCAAATAACCCCCCATAAATGGTATATAAACTGTTGTTTGGAACACTGTTTAGGCAGTTGGGTCTCTCGAGACCCTGTGCCACTTGATGCTGAAATAAAGAAAAAGCCTTTTTCTCTCTTCCACGAACTCAGTGTCTGAAGACTCTTTCCTTTTCGACATCTTTTGAGAACTTAGAGCAGTTATTAGTGAAAGTGCTTAGCTGGTGTTAAAAGATTTCTTTTTTATTCATAATAATATGTTGGAGGCCTGGGGTTGAACAGAATAGCCCTTGGTCCGGACATAACTGCCCTGGATTTATAGCATTTTCTGTGGATTACTTTATGTGATTTGAGCCGTGAGCATTCCAAGACACTGGTTTCATCATTTTTGTACAGTATGTTAGACATGAGTGATTTGATTAGTCTGCTTGATAACTTGTGATCATATCAGTAACAAAGCACGAGATGCTGCACATGCAGATCACCTTTTTTCACCTTAGCAGAGCCAACATCAAAACCATAGCAAGAAGTAGTCATTCAAGTGTGTATCCGATCTGCCTGAGACACATGACTTATCAAACATGGAGCGTCAGAGACAGAATGAGTCAGGGAAAAAAATTTATCACTGGCGGCCTTCTGCCGCATACATGTGGCTCAAGTTGCTGTCATTGCGGCCTGCTGTCACCGCCTGTGCTCAGACACCTGCCCCAGCTTTATCTGATGAAGAACATAGCAGCAGAGGACAAACATGTCATCTTTCAGGCTAGTCAATACACTGAAAAAAGTGATGCACAATTGTTCTTTCAGTTCACTTACTTTCAGTAGTAGTTATGTTGATGTAATATATACTCTTTGGCCATTTTATTGGAACACCTTCCCTATTAGCTCCACCATACTGGTGTACAGCTGGGGAATGTAGTCATTATGTAGTTCTTTATCAATGGTCAGTTTCCGACCACAGAGCCACCCTTGGCTGGACACTGACATGGGGCAGGCAATATGCCAACATTTATTGTCATTGTGATTAATTCTATCACATCACAATAAGTTTGATGTCATCAGTAGTTAAAGAACACTAAGAAACTACGTTTCCTTACAAAGAGGGGAAAAAGAGTCACATACATCCATTGTCACACAAAAGTAATCTTTAAATGTCATTTAATACAAATAAGAGCAGCATTAGGCCTGTGTAATTAGATTTAGTGCAATAAATGCATTAAACATTGAATAAAAAATCACTCTATGCATAGATTTAAATAGTATTTTTAAAATGTAGCACTACTTTTTTTTGTCTGTTCCTTATGAAACCTCATAAAAAGTGAATATCATTTATGCACTTGTGTAATGAAATGTCAGCATGTCACATGATTTCCATTAGGCATGGCCCGTTTAGTGAGAAAAACATCACTGTAAACCTTCTGGAAGTCCAAAATACATCACTGACTGTGAATACGAAGGGCAGCTAGAAAGGGCTGTTAGAAAAGGAAAACAGCATCGGCAACTCTAGACCAGGCCTTTCTACTGAAAGAGTCACTGTGAAACTGCTACAAAGTAAAATATATGTTAATGTGTCTGTTACAAGCTTCAAGTAAAACATGAAATATCTTTTAGAAGCTCCAAATCTTGTTTAGTCTACAACAGCCATTCATGCAAATTACTGTTAACTTAGCAATAACAAATTACTAGAATCCCGTACGGAAGCAGCAGGAGTTAGCATTATTGTTTTGACATTTATATCTCGAATTGAAGGCCTTCCTGAAATAGCCACAGTTCGTCACTGCTATATAGAAGACCTGCAAGGTAGGCAATGCTTCTAAAGTGCATACTTATTGCAAGCGAAAGTTATGGGTTTTTAATAAAGTAACAGTGAGTGTATTTTATTAATGTGTAAATGATGTGCACATCTTATCAAGTAAATTCAATTTATTACCTTTTTCACTGTATACACAGCTCTTTATCGACCATTTGAAAAAACACATGCCTGCTGCAACATTCATCTGAGCCTACAGGCATGCAGTTTCATTTTCAATGTCATGAAAGGACAAATTAACAAGTCTGTTTGCTTTTCGAAAGAATGGTTTGCCAAGAGAGATTCTAGGCCTTCATGTGACACACTATAAATCCTGGCAAATATCCAAATGCATTATAAAAAAAACTCACTTCTTCCCACTGTTTGCCACAGGTTGAGCTGGTCTACTACATTTTTGGCTGGCACAAGTTTCCAGGCACTACCACAGCTAACCTTGAGCGGTTTGTACGGCGCTTCAATGAAGTTCAATATTGGGTGGTGACTGAACTGTGCCTATGTGAGGACCTAATGAAGAGAGCCACACTGCTCAAGAAGTTCATCAAGATTGCAACTGTGTGAGTGTTACTGAAACAGTACAGAATGTTTACATATTAGAAGCACTGTAGCAAATACCAGCTGGTGGCACTACTGGGACCTAAACAGAGGAGCTTTCTACAGTACCCAGTTGATCATTCCAAAAGGTTTTCTGTTAAAGTTCATACCAGGCCCCAACTGATATATCATTTGAACGATTAAATTAGCCGAAATTAATCTTTACAATGACATTTGAGCATACCTATTAGCTATTAATCGTTAGAAAGAGGTTTTGGTTGAATGATTCCTTATCGGTCACTTCCTTCATCAGTTTGTTACTTACAAAATAATTGGTCAGTTTATGGGGTTTGTACTAGGGCAATGCTGTTGCTACATATTAAAATATGGCTGTGTGCTGTTTCTCAGCTGCCTCATTGGAATTCCATCCCTTTTCCTTTGTTATAAGATAATGCAAACTCGTAACACAATCATTATTGCCTGCCTACTGGTAAGCTTGGCACGCCCTCACAAAAGAGAGCTACAAAGTAAAAACTTACCAAAAAAAATCTAAAGCGTCTTACTCCAGTCTAGCTTGCAAAGGTGGATCAGCTTGTTCTACCTGACTTTCAGGATCGGGCTCTATTATAAAAATAGACACAGCGGTGTAGGGGTGGAACTTGCTCTGGCGGTTGACCAATCAGAACAGAGTGGGCGAGCTGACGAAGCAGAGCATGCTGGGCTCATTGGGAGGGAGGCTTAAAGACACAGGAGCTCTACCAGAGCATTTCAGACAGAAGATGAATACAGATGTACAGTAAAATAGGTAAAATAATGTGTTTTTGGAAGATTGACGCATCTAAATATAGTTCACCCAAAAATTACAATTATATAAATTGAAAATGAGCATAATAGGTCCTCTTTATGTGAAAACTGACAGTCGAATCAGTCAGAAAAACACTATTTGTCTAAAACTATTGGGGTTTTAAGCCTTTAAACTGCAGGCCTGTTAGACAGTAAACCTTATGATGTATGATTCAGTAACTGTTATGAATTATTCAGTCACTACTATTAAATTAAACTCATAAAGTATGTAGTTATGAGTGTGAGAACATAAAGTGTTTAGCGTATTCATGTTTAATCAAATTACTGGGGCTATTAATGGTTATCATACTCTTTAAAGTTGGTATAGGCACTATCAATTTGGTCTTGCCCTGGTTCATAGCTCATTGTCTTGTGTTAAAGAGCAGACATATTAGCCATGTGATTTTCTAGCAGCAGTGTTCTGTTGTCGGAGAACTTTTCATGCCCAAAGAGATGTCAGAGTGTCAGACAGGAACCATAACGTCAGTCAGTTTTTTGCCGTAGAGTTACACTAAACCACCCTTTCATGATTAGTATTGGACATTCCTTTTAAGTACCAACATTCTATAAAGAGCATAGGTCCTTAAAATTCTCAAAAGATGATATGCTTTCAGCTGGCATTAATGTAACTAATTGCTTTTTTCTAGCTCGTCTCTATGCACCTTTTGCTGACCAACGTCATTTGGCCTGAGCCAGCCTCATTCTGACACACTTTAAGACAAACATTGTACCTCCATACTGGGATTATTTAGGACTGGCTCACAACTATAAAGTCATTTGCACTCAGTAGAGTGTTTGCAAACTGTCCTGATTCGAAAGTGATCCACGTGTGCAATGAAGACGATCTTTGCTCTCATCATGCTGGAGGAAACCTCCAAGAGAAACGTAATACATGACTTAGTAATAAATAAAACTCCAGCATGGATTCATGATTATAACTGAATTTTCACAAACCCCACTTCATAAATTGAAAACAAAGTATTCCTACACAATATTTAAAAATATTGATGCTGTGTCTGATACACTTGTTGGTGGTCCTATGGTCGTTCCTTTCTATTGATGTAAGGAGTGGATTCTGGCTTCAGATGGTCGAGGGTGAATATTTGTATGCCTACAAAGTGCACTTACAGTGAAGCATTCACAGACTTTTGGTTTTGTTGTCTAATACACTTCAATTACATATATCACTTCATTACACACATAATGTCTTTTGTACCTATGAACATAAAATAAAGATATATTCAAACACATAAACAAAGACATGTTTAAAAAAATGAAATAGAGAAAAAAGTATTCAGACACTACACTACTAAAAATAGATATATGTAAAAGTTACTTAAAATCAAGTTCTAGATATTAATTTTAAAAAGGCTAAGCAAATTACACCTGGTGGCATTACAAAGACTTTGCCATTGGTTGGGAAGATCTCATACAACAAGTAGCAATCATGGTGAAGGCAAGCGGCAAGTTCAAGTAACCACAGCGAATCGTCCCCAGACAGGTGTGCAATCAAGATTTAACAAAATGCTCTCAGACTAATGATAAAAAAGGGAGAAGCCAGCGGTCACTGGAAAAGAGCTGCAGGACAACCTGAAGCAGCAGAAAGAACAGTTGGTATGTTTGGAGAAAGTGAGAAATCCCAAGAAAAACATACCCACAGTATAGTACAGGGGAGGGAACATCATGATATGGAGCTGCTTCTCTGCAAACAGTACTACGTCATCAAAGAAAACATTAAAGGAGAGATGTACTGGGAGATATTACAGGAGAATTTTATTCTCATCAGCCAAAAAGCTGAATCTGGGTAGAAGATGGAAGTAACTCAAGACTATTTTGTTTATTTCAGAATCCTATTGAAAATGTATGGAGGATTTTGAAACTGTAGGTTCATCAGAGGGACCTTCATAACCTAGGGGAATTATAGTAGTAGATAGTTTGTCATGAAGAATCGGCCAAAATCAACCACAGTGCTGCAAAAAGCTAAATACATCTTATAGTAGACATCTCAAAGCTGTAATTACCAACAGCTTTGCAGTTGTTGGTAATTACAGCTTATATAATAATACTAATGTTATTAATTTGTGGTGTCTGAATAGTTTTTCCCAGTTAGTTTATGCTTATTTATCAATTAAAAAAACAAAAACAAAATCTCAATACGTCCTTCACCTCACTGCACATGGTATGTGATAAAATGATCAATGTGGGTTCAGTGCTGCTTTTGCTAACTGATATTCTTTGTTGTAGATTGAAGGAGCAGAAAAATCTCAACTCATTCTTCGCAGTGATGTTTGGTCTGAGTAACAGTGCAGTGCAGAGGCTCTATAAGACGTGGGAGGTAAATGTGTGACTGATCTATGCATACAAAGTCTTCACCATATCGTTCAAATGGTGTGTACTAACTAAAAGAAGTAATGTCAATTCCAAAAACATGGTACTATTGATGTTTAAAGCTGTCAGCTTCTCCATGCTAACTGTTGTATGTAGTTTAAATAGATCAAGATCAATGCAGCCTAGGTCAGTTAAATGCAAACTAGGGATGCTTTGATGTGGGAATTCTGGCAATTATGTTTCTATAATGTAGAAATTAGGACTTATTCCACCCCGGGATTAGCATTACAAAGAAATGTAGAAAGGTACAAATGCAGTTAGATGAATAAAATGCAGATATATTTTGCCAAACATTCTGCTCATCCAGATTCAATAAATGCATCAAAAATTATCAGTTTGAAGTATCAGTCAAATCGAATCATCTGTCCTGTACCGATATGTTTTTTAATTTAGTTATCATTGACTTAAGACATCCAAGTGTAGATAAATGTTTATGTGGAACTCAATTCAGCTGATAGTCCTAATTTCTTAACAGAGAGTGCCAAGCAAAACCAAAAGGATCTACTGTGCTTATGAGAGGTTACTGGTGAGTGCAGTTTTGGAATGATGTACAGATTAATTTTTCTCTTTTCTGATTCATACACTTTCATGACCAACCATAACATTTTCATGATATTCATGACTGGCCTCACTGTGGTTCTTTTGCACAGGATCCGTCTCGCAATCACAGAGCGTACAGGCTAGCCGTGGCCAAACTCAACCCACCATACATCCCCTTCATGCCACTGCTTCTAAAAGGTTCTATCCACTTTTCATCCAATAGCCTACTGAGCTTAAAAAAAAGAGTAATTGCGTTTTTAAAGAAACCAAATGTATCTCTTTTCAGATATGACATTTATCCATGAGGGAAACAAGAATTACACTGATAGTCTGGTAAACTTTGAGAAAATGGTGAGGTTAACACTCCCAGGCTTGCATAAAACAAATAATTTCCGAATCATTTACTTGAAATTAGAATTTAAATTCGTTTATTTTTTTTATTGCTTGAAATCTGAAAACTCTTATAATTTACTGCTTCTATTTTGAATATCCTTAGCGTATGATTGCCAAGACGGTGAAGATAGTTCGAGGATGTAGAAGCCAACCTTATGGTACGACTGCTCTTCCTTGTGGTAGCCATTGCATATTGCAAACTCACACTATCTTCAGTTGTGTACCGTTTTGGAACAAAACATACAAGACTCTGCATTTTTTCTTTTTTTGTGATAGGACATAAACAGCACTAGAGGTTTTGCATCTCACTTTTTTGTATTTTTTTTTTATAGTGCCTTCTTCCCCACAAAAAGGCCTAACAGAACGAATGTTCCTGGAGGCTCCTGCTATACGAATATCTACATGTAAGCCAAGCTTTTCAATCCTCAAATGTGGAACAAACAGACATGAGCCATTGTATACACATTTTTATATATTGTCACTGTCGTATAAAAAAAACATATAAAGAAAACAAAAACTTTCTTAACTTTGTTAACCTTTGTTAACAAGATTTAATTACAAGTAGGGGAGAGCAGGCCACAAACTAACATGGGATAAAATGTATCAAGGATATAATAGGCAGTTAAACAAGTGTAGTTTTGATCAGCTTCTCATATTTCTCAAGAATCACTCTGAGGACGGTTGTTATTCTATAACAGTAACTTGTTTTCTTCAAGCTGCACCATTTTAAAGCAAGTATACAGCTCACAGTGAGAGCCCACCAGGTTAAAATACATCCTTCTTATAGGGTTAGTTGTGATGCAGTGTTACTTCTAAGACTCTAAAAGTAAACAATGAGATCCAAATCCTCCAAAATAAATTCAAATCAGCTCATTTTTAATTCACGTTTAATCAAATTCAAGTTTTAATTCACAGATTAATCAAAACATGCTATAGATGTCATGTAAAGAAATAAATTTCAATTGTATCATATATTTGTCAATTGATATTCATTCTACTTTGTGGTCAAAAAATAATTTCCCAGTGTTTGAAAAGCCTCTTTGCACTAGTCAGATTTATTTTAAAGAAATATATTTTTTTAATTAGGTAGGAAAGCTTGTCTGATTCCAACAGGAATTATAATGAATAAAATATAGCCGCAAGCGGCAATCTGCGGGGTCCAAGCACCTGGAAGACCTCGAGGAGTAAAGCAGTGGCCCCTGGTCGTAAACCGCAGCAGATCTTCAAGAAAGTTCTCCTTTTTCTATGATTAAGGCCACTAGCTGACACATCTGCTACAATCTACACAACTCATTTTAACATCCATGACGGGGATTCGAACCCACGACCCTAGAGCTCAAAGGCAGAGGCTCTAACGCTGAGCCACAAGACATCTGTGGCAAAACTGCAGTTTTTGAAACAATTTATTGAAAGGACACAACAAGGAACCACGCACAATTTTAAGTAGCAGCATAAACAAATTTCATGTCTCTGGACATAGAAGGCAGCAAGTCTTTGGATTTTTAAGAAAGACCCTTCATTAAGATAATTAAGCGTGTTCACAACAACTGCTACAGCACCATCCAACACCAGTACAGGGAATCAAACCCACAACCTTAATCTTCAAAGGCGGATGTTTTCATGGTCAGCTACAAGAGGCCCACAGCAGACCTATTTTTTTGAGATAATTTATCGGTCTAGAGCAATAAGGAACCTAGCACCACCCCATTGGGAATTAGTTTCCACCTTGCAATTACTGTGACTATTGAGTAGTATAATTTCTAACGAAATCATAATACACTGTCAGTTTTTCATTTTGTACATTTGTGTCAAATTTGGTTATATTCAGACAATTATTGTTGTATTATTAGCCTTTTATGGCAGAATAAGCCAATTCACACCAAATTATTCAAATCTTCAGCCACACTGTGCTTAAGTCATGATATTTTCAATGATTGTTTTAAGAAACATTTATTTTGATTTAAACTCAAGAATTAGTAAAAAATGTCTATTCTCCATCTTTTTTCAACCGTGATATTACTGAAAGTTTTTTAAGACTTGTATTCGCAAAATTGTTAGGCTTAGTGAAAAACATAACATTCAGAACTGCTCTTCGCTTAAAGACATACAGTAAAGCTTTCTATGTATATGTCAACAATGACGTGCAGTTACTGATTTGGCTCCCTCTGGTGGCCAGAGAAAAATCTGACCAAAATTTGCTGAAATCCAATTATAGGATTTCCTGTACAGTACAACCAACACATTATGCAAAGTGTTAATGTGTCATTAAGATGCATAATTTGAAACAATAATCATGTCTTTATTTTAATCTTAGACAGGAATAATTACATTTCAGATTGTTGGCAGTACATTGAGCATTGTAAGAGCCAATTCAAACCAAATGTCATATTTTTCCTCAACTGATAATTTTCAATGTATATATCAATTTTAGTCACAATCAGAGCATAAGTGACAGATTTGTGGTCCCTTTTTTCCGAATAGGCTAGACCACACTGATTGATCCATAACTTGCAATAACATTGTGCTTAAAAGCCAAGGTTTTTTTAAATAATTATTGATCTTTAGACTTCGACGGTTGTTTAGCGACCAAGTTTGAGACAATGCAAAAACATTTCAGCAAGCAGTATGAAAACATCAGTTTTCAAACTCCGATGATTTACAGAAAAACAATAGAGTTTTTTAAAAGACTTGTATTTGCAAAATTGTCAGGCACAGTGGAAAGCAAAAAGTACAGAAATTGTCTTGACCTAAAGACATACAGTAAAGCTTTCCACTAATAGTATATTTTTTATTAATTAGTTGAACATTGACATTTGCAGTTACTGATTTGGCTCCCTCTGGTGGCCAGAGAAATATAAAACACCTCTTGTGCTCTAATTAAAATTTGCTGAAATCAAATGATATGATTTCCTGTACAGTTAAGCAACCTACACATATTTTCAAAGTGTTAAGTCTTATTAAGATGCATAATTTGAAACAATAGTCATGTCTTTATTTTAATCTTAGACAGGAATAATTACATTTTAGATTGTTGGCAGTACATTGAGTATTGTAAGAGCCAACCTAAGCCAATTCAAGCCAAATCTCATAGGTTTCCTCAGCTGATTATTTGCAATGTATATATCATTTTTGGTCACAATCAGAGCATAAATGACAGATTTGTGGTCCCTTGTTTCTGAATCGGCTGGACCAAACTGATTGATCCATAACTTGAAATAACATTGTGCTTAAAAGCCAAGGTTTTTTAAATAATTATTGATCTTGAGACTTTGACGGTTGTTTAGAGACCAAGTTTGAGACATTGCAAAAACTTTTCAGCAAGCAGTATGAAAACATCAGTTTTCAAACTACGATGATTTACAGAAAAACAAGAGTTTTCTAAAAGACTTGTATAAGCAAAATTGCTTGGCTCAGTGGAATACATAAAATTCAGAAAGTTCCTTTGCTGCAGGATAGATGTTGCAAAGACTATGACCATAAGTATGTTTGAAGTCATAATTTGCATTTAATGCTGATGCTCCCTCTGCTGGGCAGAAAAGATATTACCCTTATTAATTATGTGGCCATCCTGGCTTTAACTCAAATTTCCACATTTCCTGTGCAATTTTGGAACAGACATATAATTGCAATGTTTTAGACATTAATAAGATGTGTAATTTGAAACCATTATCTTTTCTTTATTTCATTCATAGAATAATGTAATGACATTTTAATAATTATGCACTAGATTAAGTATTGTAGGGGCTTATGACAATCAATTTAAATGAAACTTTGCAGGTTTCATCAGAAAACAGTAGTGTACAAGTTTACCAAGATTTATCACAATCACCTAAAAACTAAAGAATCTATAGCCCCCTAAGTCAGAAAAGGCCAGGCCAAACAGATTCATTGGTGTCTCATGGCTGTTCTTTGCAATAAAGTCAAGGTTTTTTTTGATAATTATTTACCTACGGACTCCACAGATTGTTTTAAGACCAAAATTGAAACAGTTGTTTCAAAATCCACAGACTAGTTCGAAAAGCTCAATTTTCAAACATTGATCAATCAAAGAAAAACTTTACAGAATTTTAAAAGACTTGTATTGGATAAAATGTCATGCTCAGTGTAAGCAATCATATTTATTGATTTATTTTGATATATGATAAAATTTATAGGACTTATTCTCGTTTATACTCTATAGCGCCACCTCATGGCCAATTGAGGTCAAACTTTATAGGCTATTAGAGATTGCCTATGTGGACACAAGATATAATTTTTGTGATGATTGGCCAATGCTAAGCCCTCCAAATGCCTGTTGAAAGCTTATTGGCCAATGGTGGCCATATTTGTCAAATGATTCAGTTGTCCTTAATAGATTTTGTAAATATTAGGCATGGATACAGCATGCAAAGTTTCAGCTCAATTGGCCAAGCGGTTGCTGAGAAACAGATTTTTGGCTGTTATAGCGCCCCCTATTGAGGAATCGGTATCAACCTTGGTGGGCTTCCAGAGAATCATGTGGGGTACAAGACTGATAAGTTTGATGTGAACTGGCCAAAGCATTCGTGATTTTTTTGATAATTCTTGACCTCCAGACTCCCCTGAACATTTTGAGACCAATATTGTGTTGATATCTTGAAAAACCTCAGACTAGTAGAAAAATGTAGATGTCACATATTTTGCCAATTATGATGATAAATTTGGGGGCGGAGCTAAAAACGTGCAGTGGGGTGTTGATGTAGAATAAAGCAAGGATTATGTAGAAGCAAGAATTTTGAGGGTAGCCCCCATGGTTCAGGAGATATGGGCAAAAATGTAAAATGTTGCTCTATAGCACCACCATCAGGCCAACTGGGGTCATTTCAGTTGCCTGAGTAGTGGGGGCGAATCTACACCTACCCTCTAAGTTTGGTCTTTGGATGACTTACGGTGTCTTCTCCACAAACCGTTTTAGGGCAGAAAAAGAATAATAATAATAATAAGAAGAAGAAGAAGAAGAAGAAGAAGAAGAAAAATCTGAGCAAAAGCAATAGGGTCCCATGCACCTAAAGGTGCTTGGACCCCTAATTATGTTTGCATCAAGACACCAGTCTTTAGGGACTGTTACAACAAGCCCACCACAGTCTGTTACATTTAACCCCGTATGTGGGGTAAGTTGTAACATTTGCTTTCACTCTGTTTTCACCTGTTCACAGATTGTAGGTACTGAAAACAAAGTTTGTTTCCATTTTGTTTAAATTTCTTGAAAATTATTTATCACAAAATGTTTTAGATTGTGCCCTGCTCTCCCCTACTTTTGGAACATTTCTTCTGGACCATTCATCATAAAATGCTTTTGATTTGCAACTGCCAGCTGGTGTAAAAAAGTAAAAACTGAAAACAAATGTTTGAAAGCGACGATATTTAACTGTTGTTGACTGTGATAAATTTACTGTGCATTCCACATTATCATAAATCAGTGTTTGTGTGACAGCATTTTGTTCACTCAGTCTTTAAAGTACATCCTTGTCTTTTCTCCATGCCTCTTTCAGATTCTGACCAGTCCCTGACCTTACGCACCATTGCCAACATAGGACACTACATCCAGAACCTCAAAGTCATCGACAATCAAAAGAAACTGACCCAGCTGTCCAGAGCTATAGAGCACTGAAGTTCAAGCTCAAGCCTGCCTGTCCTTTTAGTCCAACTCCATATTGGAAGAGGACCACAATTAAGTTTTATTTTTAGAGGACTCCATGATGACCCTAGGTGTGGTTGATGATTAGGAGAAACTCACCCAAGCAGTGTCCAGACTGTTCACATAGATGAAACTGGACATTATTCAAGCTCTAAAAGAGGCATTCATGTCAACATGTTACGTGTCCTCCAATGCCTTATCAGAATTGTCCTGTTTTGACAGCTGTACTTGTATATCTAGTTGTAGTCTCTTCTAACAGACGCTTTGTACCAGTGGCATTAGCTCTTAGAAGGAAAGGTCCAGTATACTGACAAATCTGAAATTGTACAGATTTTTAACACCTGCTGTAAATAGGATCAGTACTATAAAAATAGTGCAAGATGTTTTGTAGATTACTATAAAAGTGTATCAAATGTATTTCATACAAAATTTATAAGTTTATTTTTGCTAAATAAATTATTGATATGTTGTTTATATGAATAGTTACTTGACTTTAACAAAACATATTCTAGCAAATTTAGCAGCAGTGCCACATATCAAGTCCATTTTTCACTCCTAGGCCAACGGCTTGTCGGGACCAAAGGTTATCCCCTTCAATCCCAGGCCTCAGACATATTATTATGAATAAAAAGAAATCTTTCAATACTGGCTAAACACTTTCACTAATAACTGTTTTAAGTCTAAGTTCTCAAAAGATGTCAAAAAGGAAAGAGTCATCAGATGCTGAGTTTGTGGAAGAGGTAAAAAAGCTTCTTCTTTATTGCAGCATCAGGTAGCACAGGGTCTCAAGAGACCCAACTGTGCACATACAGTGTTCCAAACAGTTTATATACCATTTATCTGGGGTAATTTGATATTCCCCCACCTTTTCAAATTTTGATATTAGCTCATTCTATAATAGCATCTCTTCGTCCATCAATTTGACCATCACATGAGCTCCTCACTCCTAAAAACTGGTTTCAACAGGTTTTTACCAGTCTGCTTTACCTTTCAAGGTCAACTTGCCCCTTTATTCAATGGGTCAGTAGGTACACACAGGCCTCTCTGTGAACCCAGGGGCTTTCCAGTGTCTAGAATCTCCTATGCAGACAAAGGCCTACCCTTTGTGAGAGAATTAATATTCTCTGTTAGCCAATACTACCAATTTGGTTACTGATTACAACATCTAATCTATTTGATTACTGATTAAGGAAATATTTATTCAAATTCTCTGCCCGACTCCACCACTTCTACCACAAGTAACACTAACACCTGTAAAAAATTGGAAGATTTATTTGAAATGCAAACTGTAAAATATCATACAAATAATTACTCCAATTCTCCCCAATATGGGGCGATCTTATTTATTGTTAGGTAAGAGTTTCAGCTGAAAATGAAAAATTTCTCCTTGCCAAATTATATTTACAACTTAAAGAAAGAAAAGCAAAAGAGAAAAAGGATGTGGGACAATGGGGTGGGAGGAAAAAACAAAAACAAATGTAGATATGACCAGTGCTTCCTCCTGCTAAAATGTGAAAATCAAAGAAAAAAATCTGGAGGTATAAATACATGTTTGAAATGAGAAATAAATCGACTCAAATATACAAGAGGTCTAAAAAGAGTTTCAAATCAAATCATGGCAAGGCTCTCAAACAACTTATTAAATAAATTCACTAAAGATAGTCAGTCAAGCTATGACATTTCTGACAAGCACAACAATCACAAAGATCATAGCATCTTAACTCTTTAACAGTTTTATATCTCCTCTCTCCTCCAACACTGTAACTGTTAAGGAATGATTGTGTAGTGCCCATAGTAATCTGTGACGACAAAGCTGTGATGCTTCAAACCAATTTTGGAACCATAAAGTGTGGGGCTTAATGTTATAATATTTGTTTTTGGTTTTGTTTTGTTTTTTTTTTACAAATGACAGCTGTCATAAAATCTCCTCTTAATCACTTTCTGATGGGCAATACTCAACCCAGTTCAACAGGTTGCTGTTTGCATGAAAACATTACTAAGAGTAAAATATGAATATACACAGTGACAAAAGGCAAAAAATACAATAAGTCGAAAAGGAGAAATAACAACAGTATTGCACTTTACATACAGATTTCTTTCCCTATGCCCAGTAGCTTTCCTTCTGAAGTGACAGAGAAGTGTATCAATGAAATTGACTGCAGCCTCTCTGTCTCTGGCACCAAGCTCTGTTATGATGTACAGGAGCATTAGCATGCTTTGCTAGACCTGCATGTTTGTGCTACAGTGCTCATCATAGGAAGTACAAAAAGAAAATTGAGCAACTGGGCATAACTCTCATTCTCTTTAACAAACACATACATTTACACATTCATTCACACAACTACACTCAAAAATAAAGGCTCTGAAATGGGTTCCTTAGGGCATGAAGCTCTTTTGGTTGCTTGAAGAACCATCTAGTGGTGACAACCTATTTTTGCAAATGACAAGTGTGATGAACCTTTTCAAAGTCTAAAGAATTTGAAGACATAATTTCAGTTTCATTAAATTCCCAGAACCATAGGTCCCAGCTGAGAACCGTTTAGGAACCTTTATTTTTAAGACTGCATACGCACAACTATAATGGTGTGTTTAACATTCAGTCCCTTGGTGAGACTGCTGCCTTGGACTGGAATTGTCCATGGTTCGCTGTAAACCACTCATCTGACCGGTGTGCTGACTATTACACTTTGAGACAGCCCCAATTCTACTGTGTACAGTGGCTTTCCTGCACTTTGTACACCCAGCACAGACAGGAAGGATTCCATGTAGACGGTCACCCATGGCTGTCACTCTCTGCTGGCTGGTCCAGCCCCAGCAGCAGCACACCAATGGGGAGGGGGGCAGGAGCGTGTTCTGTATATATCGGCAAAGCACAGCTCTGCTTCAAGGCAATTCTTAAAGGTTTCACAGGCTTGGCATGGATCCAGTCATGTCCCAGATGAACTCTGACGGTTAGCAGGGATTGGACGGTCGTGCTCGGAGAACATTTATTTTATTTTTTTCCCTGATTGGGTTTCTGAGTTCCCGTGAGCGCAACACACCTGATCTGAGCGCTGCTGTTCCACCTTATCACCTGAGACAGACACCAACTTGGTACTTTTTGGAGAAACAGAGGTGAGGGAAAAAAAGGAACCTCCTTGTTCCTCTGAAACCCTTTCTTTTATGAGGATAGACATATAATCATCAAGGCAAACAGAACAAAATACAGGACACAGCAGAAAATAAAAGTAAAGATGATGAGGTTTTGTGTCTGTGCTTGCCTTACCTCATCAGGTAAATATGCATAAACTAAACAACAATGTAAAAGTCTTTGGTTGTGTGTAAAATACTGCACTAAAACTCTTTAAATGCTCAACAGAGGGTCTTCTACCCACGGTTGAAATTTAAAGGGAGTGAACAAATCTTGGACACTCGCTGGTAGCACCAAAAACATGTTAACTACAAACTGTGAACATTGCATATATGAGTGCAGGTAGAAAAAGAAGATTCTTCCTTGAGCAGAACATCTAGGAGAACTTCTGTCCTTCTGTTCTGTCTGAACTCTCCTCTTCCACAGAACCAGGCCCTGGTTCTTCACTTCGGTTAAACCTTCCCAAAATCTTCTTAAATATTGCAGCTGAGTGTCAGGCTACTTACTGGTGAACAAAATCCAAACCCACAGCAAAAACAAAAAATGAAACAAAAAGAACAATTCAAAAGACATTCATTTGGCTTTGAGTCCTTAGGGTCTTTCCATCCAGTGCAGTGCAATGGAGATCCAGTGGTCTTTCCTCCTTACTCTTCTACTGCAGTCTGGTCCTCTTTACAAAGCAATTCATCTTTCTGTTTAAATGGCTTCTCATGTATTCTTTGGTTTTCCCTCACTGAATAGTCCCAGGCCCATTTAAGCCTCAGATGCAGCCTGGGGTTTCAGCTGGGCCTTCTCCATGGCAGTGCCATACGGTGTTCTCTTGAAGAAACCAAGCTAAAGAAAGTTGGGAAGAGAAAGAACTTTGTCAAAGCAAATATCAAATAATCACATATTTTGAAAATTCTCAAATCTGTCTTTAAGCCAGCTATACTGACCAGAGCTGTTTAATTCACATCATAGATAGATAACATGACTCATAACTACCACACTTTAAGGGCAGCCACATGTATACTAAATAACATATTGACAAAGGTCATCCATATCATATCCAATGAATACTTCATGCTATACTCACTTTGTACAGAACATAGATAAGCAGAGCTAGCAGCAGAAGTCCAACCAGTATAGCCAGAATGATGATCCACAGTGGCACATCATACTGACTGTCTGGTTTATTCCACCCCACGTGGGTGACCACCTGAAGAATCCGACACCAGAAAATTTATTAAACCTTTATATACTCATTCAAACCATAAGTTCATTTTTAGATAAAACAAAAACTAAGAGAAATAATGAGCACACTAGATGATACTTCACACAGGTATGAATACATGTATTTAACTTCATATTGATTTATTTTAAAACTAAAACTTTATTAAAAATAAACCCTTTGCTTACCTTTTTAGCTCCACTGGGATTCTCCTTGGGTAAAATGGCATAAGGCATCTTTTCCACCTTGAAACTAGCCAAGCACTCAAGAACAAATTTCTTATATGACTTCTGCAGGGAAATAAAAAGATACTATTAGAAATGACTCTGAATTGGCCAGGCAGCTCTGCAAATTTACTGAATTGAATACAGTGACTAGGGCTGTCATTATCGACTGTACATGAGTAACCTATTACTTTGGTGCTCAGACAAGTAATCATTGTTTTTAAAAAAGGGCCAAGCAATAAAGTACACTTAACTGAACAATAACAGACTTTTAAAAAGGACACCATTGGGCAAAACAATGAATATAAATAGGCATGTCCATCAAACTGTTTTTCTTACTTTCAGAGAGAGCTGCAGAAGAATCTAAAATGCATCATGCAGATTGGCAACTGCAGGTTCATCATGTACTTGTATCATGTATTAAGTACATCTACTCACCTTCTCATTCTTTAAACTAAGTAATGAAGTTTAATCAAGTAACCAGGAACAAAAAAAGGGAAAAAAAAACTTGCAATTCCACTAATGGACACAAGGTGGCACTGTATTCATTTTTATTTTTTACTGTGACTGTTTGGCCTTCCTTCTCACAAAATCCCTGGGACATTCCAATCCTATGAGAACTCAGCACAGCCAGCTAATGAATTTTCAATGCACTCACACATACGCTTTGTATTGGCTCGTGTTGTAGAGAGCATGTAAGGCCCTTTTCAAAAGAGCTCCTGTTTAGAGATATCGTCTGACTTCTTTCTCTCACACACACATGCCTTTACACACAAAGCCATAACAGTTCTGCTGCTGCTGACAAGCAACAGAGGTTTTGCTCCATACTTGCAGACGGACTGAATCCCAGGAGGCAAAATACTAGGGCTCAATATTAGCTCCAACATTCAGTCAATGCAATCATGAGGCTGATTTTGAGTGGTCAACCATTTGGAAAAACCTTTCATTTGAGGTTTCGGAGTCCGAAGTATGGCTCTGCGGCAGACAAACGGCTTTTGCATGGACAGGGGCCACCTATGTTCTGGTACATGACAACAGCAGAGACAGGTGTGACCATGTGATTTTGGACAACTGGACGAAACTTACCGCAATGAATGTTTCGGCCCAAAGACGTGAGCGCACTTGCAGAATTGCACTGGTCCCTTTATCCAGCAGACCCACGTTGCACTGCAGGGTCCAGCACTCTACACTGGAGCAGGACTAACACAAATACAGCCAAGGGAGAAAAAAAAGGGGATGGAGATGGAAGGTTAGAAAGAAAAATTCAGGGCACAATTTGGGGCAGTAATAATAAAGATGAATGGCCTTTTTCCCTAGCCTGCTCTCAAGACTCGCGATGTTTCATTGCCATATTTATTCTCATTTTCAAGCAATAGTGCCATATGACCAGGCCCATAAAGTCTGTGCTTGTTATACAGATCAGGGTCATGAGCAAAGATCATTCCTGGCACTAAAGATTAATGATGGTGCAAACACAACTATTTTTCGTTTTCCCAGCAAACCAAGCTCATTAAAAACCATTAATTAAAAGGGCAAGTGTAAATATGTCAAGGAGGATTCAGCTTGAGGGAAAGAGAGCGAACCATGAGACTGATGATAGCATTACAGGCCAAGAGCAATGACAAAAGGCCCAATGTTAGGCTCCCTGCACGAGGGCTGCTTTAAATTAGCCCGAGTCACAGGACTATAAAACGCTGGCTGCAGTTGCTGCTAGTCAAATTACGGACCCACCACTGCACTCCCACCCAGCTCCCTTGCTTTTACAAGCCTGCCCAATCCATCTCTCTTCATTACATCCTCATAATGTGAAGTTCATTTGTTTACAGTGCTAAGAAGATTCACCTGGTGATTGTGGCCTTGTCTAGGTTGTATCAGAGTGATTCTAGAAAGCCAACTGTCCCGGCCTCTGTCCTAAAGGGGAATTTAAGGATTCAAGAAGGGCAAGGGGAAAGAACTGGACAATTTCCACTCAACTGAGAGGTGGCCTCAGGCACAGAAACACAGGCTGCAGTGCTCCTAAACAGCTTCCTCTAATGCATTCCCTTTTATTCAGGGGGATGCAACAATAAATGAAACTAAGAATTATAAAAAGTAACAAAATTAAGGCCTCCACCAAAATACCACAGAACCAGTAAGGCTGGCCAATATTCTTTGTCTAATAAAACTGGCCAATACTAAGGTTCCATAGATTTATTAACAATGGTGAAAATCTCATAAATCACTTTGCCCATTAGAGAAATAAATATTGTGGTAGTTCATGTTATTTATCTGTTCTAATGGTAAGTTTGAAGGCTCTCAGTTTATTTGAAAATGGTTTGTGTATTACAGATTACAGATATTTCTGCTGTTTATCTGAATTTAAGAAATCTGACAAGTGAGAACTGATTTTACAATGTACAATTAAATCAGTCAGTAAAGCAGTTTAACTAAAATCGTCATCTGTTTAACTTTTGATCATGTAGAATTATATGAGCCTATATCATTGGATTTACAAAATAGCTCTTCAAAAAATTGGTATGTGTGATATTTTCTTAACATTCAAGGTACTTAGAGTGTATTCACTACACCCTTAGACTTTACCTTCAAATTAGTTGTAAATATGTAGTTGGGAGGTACTGACCTATCTGAGGATCATAATTTGGCATGGGCAAAGTTCTCGGAACCAGGAAACCTACTTATCATCTGACTCTACAACTGAACCTGGGCCTGGTTTCTTTCAGCCTAGTGCTAAGCCCTCGCACATCACCAGCTATTTCTGACAGCTAACTGAAGCCTCCCAGACACACTCAGAATCAATAAGAGAAACACCAGAAGTGGGGTGCAGAGAAATAATGGACACTTAAAGAGTGTGCTGTCAAGTGAGGGATGATAAACGAGCGTGACTGAACATGACTGGCAGCAGGACAAAGCATTCATTCATTTGGTCAGGTGCAGTGGGACGGAAAGGGCTACTTGTGGTCGGCACCAACAACAGGCCGCTGTGCAAGAGGGGTGGTGGGTGTGGTAGGTAATGACATAGAAAGGGAAAGGGTAGAGCAAGGACACCCTGGAGGGCACATCACTGCTGAAATTAATAGGGTTACTGATGTATCTCGCAGACACACAGTGAGCCATCAGAACGGCTTTCAAGTTGGCCAGTCAGCCGGAGCATATCTTTGACCCCAAAAGACCTGATTCAGTTCATTACATTACTTAATGGTCTAGCCTTATGGGTTCACTCAAAAGTGGCTAGTCAGGAGGACACTGTATTTGGGTAGATCCCTCACAGATACTCATCCTAAATACCTATGGTTGCACAGTACAGCAAGATCAAACTCTCTGGATAAGAATTCTTATTGTCATTTGTTGATATTAAAGGAATATTCCAGCATTTTTCAGGTCAATTTCTATCTTTCACCATACAGTCAGTTACCACAGACAATAATTTTGACATATTTAGCTCTAAAGATCCAAAAGATGATCCAATCCTGGAGTATTCCTTTAACCCCTTAAACTAAAAGGGACCACAGTTCAATGCCTCACTCTTATAACTTATATGTAAGTTTCATAGTATTTACATATAATTCATAGTAGCTACTAAATAAAGTCCTAATAACTCAAAAAAACGTCTTCAGGGGTTAAATGCATTCTCCCTCATTCTCTATTCCTTATCTTGTTTTGACGGGTTACATTAATGTGCATCAGATCTCACCAGGTTTGTCAGTTCCGCAAGCTCTCCCTTGTGTGTTTCCCGCTTTTCAATGTGATGCTCCTGGTTCAACAAAGGTGGCTGCTCCGTGGATGATTGCTGAAGCTAGAAGGCAGCAGAAAGAGCGAGACAGATGGAGAGGGGGAAGGAAAAGAGAGAGAGAGAACATTAAGCGGAAATTCACCACCCATTTGGGTAAATGAGACACTGACCTCACTGTTAAATGAGTACCACCCATTGACTCAACATGGACAGGAGTCAAAGGGAGGGATTCCTCACTGACTTTTACACATGGGTGCACTAACAAACTTGTCCAAACTTTTCTCTACTGCACAAATATCATGCGACATATTCCTCACAACCAAACACCCAACCAACTACAGCAGACTCAGAACACAAAAAAACAACTAAAAATACGCCCATCACAGAGCTTCCAGATGCTATAGCCTTTCTAGGTCTGTGATCATAAAAAGTCCACACAGGCATGCAGCCCATCAAAGGGAGCAGAGCCAGTAAGATAGAACAAATTCTAGAGCACTGTGACTGGGCTTAGATGAAGCAGATGACTGCGTTTACATCTGTACAGAAGTGGTACATCAAGCTGTTAATCCATACAGAAGCATGTTGGTGGGCTGAGAGAGAGACAGAGAGAGAGAGAGAGAGAGAGAGAGAGAGAGAGAGAGAGAGAGAGATACAGATACAGATACACGTGTGAGTCTTCCTCTGTGTGTGAGTGTGTGTGTGTGTGTGTGTGTGTGTGTGTGTGTGTGTGTGTGTGTGTGTGTGTGTGTGTATATATATTTGGTTATTACACTACCGTTACACTACTGGCATCGACTAAAACAGAACAACTAATCCTGAAGGCAGTCTGGGCGCAGCCAAGTACAGAAAGTATTTCACTTCTTATCATATTTGTAATTCAGAAAGGCTCACCTTTAGGTTCAAAGGGTTGACAACATTGTGTGTGGTGCAGTTTACAGGCCCCTGCGTGGTGACTTCCAGCGGGTACATGAACTTAGGCCCCATAGGACACTTCAACTGGAGGACTGTGTGACTGATACGGCTAGGACCATTATTCACCAACTGAAGGGGGTAAGACAGAAGGACTTGAAGGGTTAATGTTATGTAATATTTGATGGAAGCGTCATGATTACATGTTTACAGGAACCTAGTGGCTGTACTGTACATAAATTACAGAATACCAACAAAAATTAGAGCTTGCACTTTGTTTCCAAGGAAACTACTCGGGTGTTTTCTGAACTGTCAATCTACATATAACACAGAAGATGACTTAACGTCTTGTTCTGTTTAAATACAGTGAAGCTCATGAGGTCACCCTCTACGCCTGCTGTTTCCTTGACTCATCTCCATAGCCATGCACAGAGGACTCTTTTCTATAAAGAATAATGACAGGCTTCTCCGTCCCCCAGGCTAGCAGGAGGACACAGTAAGAGGGTCTTTACCTCATAGATGTGCTGCACTGGAGGCCCTACTTCCTGCTCCACAGCCACATTCTTGGTCACTCTCCAGTTCGGAAGCGGGAAGAAGACCTTATCTGGTCGGGACACACTTTACGAGAGACAGAAAGAAAGAAAGAAAATGAACAAGAAGAAGTGAGAGAAGAATTGGAAAGAACTTTTCATCAAGGCTTCCAGAAGAGTACATTGTGAGAAACACACCGTTCTAGCAATGTGAACTTACCCCTGTAAAATAACATCAGCCTTCACCACCACCTCCAACTTGTAGGGGACAACCTCACTCTGGGAATTATTCTCATTTTTACTACAAACAGAGAGAAAGAGGGTGAGCATGAAGACAGAGAGGAAGAATGAAAGAAATAAAGATAGAATTAAAAATAGGAAAGAATATGAACATACACATGGTCTCCACATATGCATTGTTGTGCAAAGGGTTTACATACCTGCGGATTTGCATGTCAAACTGCACCACCTTGCGAGTGTCCTTCAGTCGTGGCACTGTGAACCGCAGGCCTGCCCACAGCTGTAACAGAAAAACATTAAGAAATTTAAAGCTAACATATTTTCCACACTTCTACACTCTACACCTCGCACTCACAGAGACTGAGGTAAGTGTCAGTGGAATGGCCCCTCACCACATCTTACAGCAGGCTACAGCCCAAATGACGGACCTGAGGTCCGTGTACTATACCTTTACCCTATAGAATCTGAAAGTATCATCTTAATGAGTTCACTGCTTTTCAGCCAGCTGCAGCACACCTGCATATAAGTTCCTGTCTCCCTTCACAATTGTGTTTTATCACCTTTTCCACTTTGCACACACTGTTCAGAAATTCCAAACCATATGGGTTGCACAGATTTTAACTGTGTGCATAAGAGGGAGCTCTGACTTATCATTTTATACGATTCTACACAATTCTAATACAGTCTATAAATAATTACGAAGAGTCACGCTACCGCTTTGGTGGTCTCCTATTAAGCACTAAAAATAGCCCCTAAAATAGAACAGATTACAATTAAGACTACCTGACATGGACTGAACAGCACCAAGTTTAACAGTGACGACGTCAAACCAAACAGCAAACAATTAACAGTTACAGCCATTTTCCACAATGGCATTAAAAAGCCACAGCTCTCTCCACATCTATGCAAAGTCATTGTACAGGTTCTCGTAAGAACTCTCGCAATATGTCGACATCAAAGTATTTCAAGGGAGCTACGGCTACCCACATGGCGACAAGACAAAGTCCGACATTAGCAGTCTTGAAGGTTCAATAGATCCTTAGCCATCTAAAATTAGTTTAAAAAATGAGAGTGTAGAAAAGAAAACGTCTTAAGTGGATCAAATTGCAAATCAAAAGTTTTTAAATCCATCAAACACTAAGTGAGTCAGATGCAAGTTTTAAATCTTGTACATTTTTTTTTCATTTTGAATTTTGATAACATTTTAGACATTAAACATTTAAATCAGCAGTGTTTGGTGCAGGTAAGTTTCAGTAATGACACAAACTTTGAATTTTACTTGGATATAATGTAGCTAAAATACTGCTTAGATTCAAAATGCAGCATTCACTGCAATTAATGCAACTGAAATGCTTTGAAGGTTAAAATACAAATATTAATATGAAGTAATTATTGCAGTACATTCAAAATTCAAAAGTTGTGTATGATTGCTGAAACTTACCTGCACCATACACAATTGTTTGTAGTGTTGGGTGTAATACAGCTGAAATGCTACTGAAATTCAAAATTGATAAAATTTAAAGCAATATATCCAAAATTTAAAGCTGTGCATCATTGCTGACACCTCACTGCACCATACACAGCTGTTTTTAAATGCTGTATATAATTCAGCTGAAATATTATTGAAATTCAAAACACAAAAATTAATAAAAAGTAGTCACAGCAATATATCAAAATCCAAAGGCTGTGCATCACTGCTGACACCTCACTGCACCATACACAGCTGTTTTTGATGTTGTAAATAATGCAGCTGAAACATTATTGAAATTCAAAATACATAAAAATTAAGAAAATGTAGGTACAGCAATATATCCAAAATCCAAAAGCTGTGCATCATGGCTGACACTGCATTGCACCATACACAGTTATTTATAGTGTTGTATGTAAGATGGCAAAAATATTATTGAAGTTCAAAATATATCAAAATTAATATAAAGTAGTTATTGCATTATATCCAAAATCCAAAGGCTGTGCATCATTGCTGACACTGCACTGCACCATACCCAGTAGTTTTTAGTGTTGTATGTAAGATGGGCAAAATACTACTGAAGTTCAAATTAAAAAAAATAATAATGTATTTATTGCATTATATCCAAAATCCAAAAGGTGTGTATGACTGCTGACACTTCACTGCACTGTACACAATTCTTTGTAGTGCTGTATGTAATGTGACTGGAATATAATTGAAATTCAAAATAGATATATTTTTTAATTAGATATTGCATTAGATCCAAAATCCAAAAAATGTGTATGAATGGTGATACCTAGCTGCTCCATACACAGTTATTTTTGGTGTTATGTGGTGGAAATATTATTGAAGTTCAAAATAAATAAAAATGTATATAGAGCAGTTATTGCATTACATCCAAAATCCAAAATTTGTGTATGATTGCTGACATTTTGCTGAACCATATACAGTGGTTTTAGTGATGTATTTAAAGTGGTTGAAATGCTATTGAAATTCAAAATAAATAAACATTAATATAAAGTATAAAGCTATTTCAGCTAAATTATATACAACATTATAAACAGCTGTGTATGGTGCAGTGAGGTGTCAGCAATGATGCACAGCCTTTAAATTTTGGATTTATTGCTGTGACTACTTTTTATTAATTTATGTATTTTGAATTTCAATAATATTTCAGCTGCATTATTTACAACATTAAAAACAGCTGTGTATGGTGCACCAAGGTGTCAGCAATGATGCACAGCCTTTGGATTTTGGATATATTGCTGTAACTACTTTTTATTAATTTTGATATATTTTGAATTTCAATAATATTTCAGCTGCATTATTTACAACACTAAAAACAGCCGTGTATGGTGCAGTGAGTTGTCAGCAATGATGCACAGCCTTTGGATTTTGGATATATTGCTGTGTTTTTTTATTATTTTTTATGTATTTTGAATTTCAATAATATTTCAGCTGCAATATTTATAACATTAAAAACAGCTGTGTATGGTGCAGCAAGGTGTCAGCAATGATGCACAGCCTTTGGATTTTTGATATATTGCTGTAATTACTTTTTATTATTTTTTATGTATTTTGAATTTCAATAATATTTCAGCTGCATTATTTACAACACTAAAAACAGCTGTGTATGGTGCAGTGAGGTGTCAGCAATGATGCAAAGCTTTTGGATTTTCGATATATTGCTGTGACTACTTTTTAATAATTTTTAGATATTTTGAATTTCAATAATATTTCAGGTGCCTTATTTACAGCATTAAAAATAGCTGTGTATGGCGCACCAAGGTGTCAGCAATGATGCACAGCCTTTGGATTTTGGATATGTTGCTGTGACTACTTTTTACTAATTTTTATATATTTTGATTTTCAATAATATTTCAGCTGCATTATTTACATTAGAAACAGCTGTGTATGGTGCAGTGAGTTGTTTGCAATGATGCACAGCTTTTGGATTTTGGAAATATTGCTGTGACTACTTTTTATTAATTATGTATTTTGAATTTCAACAATATTTCAGCTGCATTATTCTCAACATTAAAAACAGCTGTGTATGGTGCAGTGAGGTGTCAGCAATGACGCACAGCTTTTGGACTTTGGATATGTTGCTGTGACTACTTTTTATTAATTTTTATATATTTTGAATTTCAACAATATTTCAGCTGCAATATTTATAACATTAAAAACAGCTGTGTATGGTGCACCAAGGTGTCAGCAATGATGCACAGCCTTTGGATTTTTGATATATTGCTGTAACTACTTTTTATTAATTTTGATATATTTTGAATTTCAATAATATTTCAGCTGCATTATTTACAACACTAAAAACAGTTGTGTATGGTGCAGTGAGGTGTCAGCAATGATGCACAGCCTTTGAATTTTGGATATATTGCTGTGTTTTTTTTATTATTTTTTATGTATTTTGAATTTCAATAATATTTCAGCTGCAATATTTATAACATTAAAAACAGCCATGTATGGTGCACCAAGGTGTCAGCAATGATGCACAGCCTTTGGATTTTTGATATATTGCTGTAATTACTTTATATAAATTTTTATGTATTTTGAATTTCAATAATATTTCAGCTGCATTATTTACAACACTAAAAACAGTTGTGTATGGTGCAGTGAGGTGTCAGCAATGATGCACAGCTTTTGGATTTTCGATATATTGCTGTGACTACTTTTTATTAATTATGTATTTTGAATTTCAACAATATTTCAGCTGCATTATTCTCAACACTAAAAACAGCTGTGTATGGTGCAGTGAGGTGTCAGCAATGATGCACAGCTTTTGGACTTTGGATATGTTGCTGTGACTACTTTTTATTAATTTTTATATATTTTGAATTTCAACAATATTTCAGCTGCAATATTTATAACATTAAAAACAGCTGTGTATGGTGCACCAAGGTGTCAGCAATAAAACACAGCTTTTGGATTTTCGATATATTGCTGTGACTACTTTTTATTACTTTTTATTAATTTTGAATTTCAATAATATTTCAGCTAAATTATATACAACATTAAAACCAGCTGTGTATGGTGCAGCAAGTTGTCAGCAATGATTCCCAGCTTTTGGATTTTGGATATGTTGCTGTGACTACCTTTTATTAATTTTTGATATATTTTGAATTTCAATAATATTTCAGCTGCATTATTTACAACATTAAAACAGCTGTGTATGGTGCACCAAGGTGTCAGCAATGATGCACAGCTTTTGGATTTTGGATATGTCGCTGTGACTACTTTTTTATTAATTTTGATATATTTTGAATTTTAATAATATTTCAGCTGCATTATTTACAACATTAAAAACAGCTGTGTATGAAGCATCAAGGTGTCAGCAATGATGCACAGCCTTTGGATTTTGGATATGTCGCTGTGACTACTTTTTATAAATTTTGATATATTTTGAATTTTAACAATATTTCAGCTGCATTATTTACAACATTAAAAACAGCTGTGTATGGAGCACCAAGGTGTCAGCAATGATGCACAGCCTTTGGATTTTGAATATATTGCTGTAACTATTTTTTATTAATTTTTATATATTTTGAATTTCAATAATATTTCTGCTATATTACACCCAACACTACAAACAATGGTGCATGGTGCAGTTAGGTTTCAGCAATCATACACAACTTTTGAATTTTGAATGTACTGCAGTAATTACTTTATATTAATATTTGTATTTTAACCTTCAAAAGCATTTCAGCTGTATTAATTGCAGTATATGCTGCATTTTGAATCTAAGCAGTATTTTAAATGTTCAATGTCTAAAATGTCGAAATTGAAAATGGAAAAAATAA